GTCATTGAACCTCAATTGGAGGCTCGCCGCCGTCACAGGGCTGCCCGTCCCAATGAGCCATTTATTGACCCTTCTATGAACCGCTGGGGCCTCTTTATCCCTGAGCCTTACCGGCAAGGCGCTGGTGGCCTCAACAAAGAGCAGCTGGCCATCTACGAGGAATTTGCCCGACAAGCACGCGGACCTGCTGCTGCTCATGTGCAAAATGTCTCTACCGACTCTGGTCGGCAGCTTCCGGACGTCCTTCAAGAACCATACTCTCCCATCCCCAACTTATCTACCCCTGCTGAACAACCCGCTGTACCGCACAGGACTCCTCAGGCACAACAAGACGCTCGCTTGCAGCAGTCCGGTCTTGTTGGCGCGCAATCTCAGCTTAACGGCTTCCTCGAGGCTCAAAGCCCTCGTGAGAAGGTTGAGGCTATCGTGTCTGAAATTCAGCAGGCTGCTCGAAATGCTCCGGAGGAGCGCGTCAAAGATCTTGGCAGAGATAGCACTGTTTTGCAGGAATACAACCAGGCACTCCGTACTATCCTCGCTTCGCCCAACGGAGAAGAGCTGGCCAGACTGACATGTCTGCGAATTTGCACCAGCCTGTATGCACAGACTCCAAGCACATTGGAGATTGAGGTTCTTGTCCATTTACTTGCGAAGCTGTGTGACATGTCGACTCTGGTTGCACGTTACACCTGGGCAGTCCTCTCTGAGGTCGATGATGAGCATATGTTCCACGTTCCGGTCACCGTTGCTCTCATCGATGCGGGTCTTCTGGACATCCGTCGTGTCGATATGATCCTGACGCGGCTTATCCTCGAGAAGAGAATCCCTGCTCTGGAGGTTCTCTCCAACCTGATGGACCGCGTTCTTTTCAGCGAAGAACCTTCCGCCTTGAGATCTGACTTCTCCGGCAGTTTGGAAGCCATGAGCCAGTGGCTTGCAGAAGACTCCAACCTTTCAGTAGCAAATGAGATCATTCGCAAGCTGCGTGAGTCCGGCATTCCTGAAGTTGTCAATCCTCTTCTCAGTGACAAAGCGAGATCCAAACGAGATCAGATGGAGTACATCTTCAGTGAATGGATTGGCATCTACAAGGCTCCTGGCGCAATCGACCGCACCTATTATTCGTTCCTGAAGGACTTGCATCAAAGACAAGTTATGGATAATCAAGAAGATTCTGCTTTGTTCTTCCGTCTGAGCATTGACATCTCGGTAGCAATGTTTGACCATGAGTCACAAAACCCCAGTGGTAGTCTCGATGAAGCATTCCTCTACATTGACGCTCTAGGCAAGCTTGTTGTCTTGCTCGTCAAGTTCCAGGGAGAGTCTGCAGGTGCCGCAAAGACGAGCAAGTCTGCCTACTTCAATTCGATCCTATCGCTTCTCGTGCTTGTGTTGAATCATCATTATGTTATGCGAGGTGAGGCATTTAACCAGCGCGTTTTCTTCAGGCTGTTCTCCAGCATCCTCTGCGAATACTCCATGAACGGACTCCAGCATAGCGACCAGCACCAGGAAATGATGTTTGCTCTGGCCAACAAATTCCTCTCCCTCCAGCCTAAATACTGCCCCGCTTTCGTCTACGGATGGCTTTCTCTCGTCTCTCACAGATTCTTCATGTCTGGTATGCTGAATATGCCGGAACGGGCAGGCTGGGGACCCTACTGTGAGATTATGCAGGCTCTCCTTTCTTACATTGGCGAGCAGCTTAAGCCGGCAACCATTTCCTATGTGGCCAAGGATTTGTATAAGGGTGTCCTTCGAATCCTGCTCATCTTGCACCATGATTTCCCCGAGTTTGTGGCGGAGAATCATTTCCAATTCTGCAACGTCATTCCTACTCATTGTGCTCAACTTCGCAATCTTGTTCTCAGCGCCTATCCCTCCTCGTTCCATAAACTTCCGGATCCGTTCAGAGAAGGTCTCAAGGTGGAACGTTTGGAGGAAATGCGGGAGGCTCCAAGAATTGCAGGCGATATCGCTGCCCCGCTGCACCATGCGAATATCAAGAGTGTCGTTGATAGCGCTCTCCAGAACACCACTGTATCTGAAGCATCTATCCAACAAATTAACGATGCAGTTTACAACCCTCTGACCAAAGAATCCGGTCTCTTCTATGACCCAATCAACGTCAACGTGGTGCTGCTGAACGCGCTCGTCCTCTACATTGGGCAGAACGCTGTATCTGTGAACATCTCCCAGGGCAACACTCGGGCGGCATTTGAGAACTCCGCTCATGCGTCTCTCTTGGAGAGCCTTGCGAAGGCTTTGCGTCCGGAAGCACGGTACTACCTGCTGAGTGCGATGGCCAATCAGCTGAGGTACCCCAACAGCCACACTTACTTCTTCAGCTTCGCTATCCTCCGTCTCTTTGGTGCCGATAATTCCGAGCAGGATGAATCCGACATTCGCCAACAGATCATCCGTGTTCTTCTTGAGCGACTTATTGTCCATCGTCCTCATCCTTGGGGACTGATCATCACTCTCCAGGAGCTGCTTCAGAACCGAAGCTACACCTTCTTCCGCCTTCCTTTCATTCAGGCTGCGCCTGAGGTAAGTTCATTCGTCTGCTTCCAAGTATGTGGCATTGTCGCTAATCATGCTTTCCAGATCGGTCGTCTCTTTGATGCTCTGTTGCAGCACATTCAACAGCAGAGCCCGCGGGCGATGGCCTAAACATTCACGGAGATATTCTCTCGATTACTTTCTCATATTATATTAACATGACGTATTCTCTCATGCCTCGATGTCTTGCATTTGCCGAAACGACTTTCTGTCATGGTGTTTTGTCTATGCCGCTCACGACATGTAGCGCTAAAATACGGATCTTTCCTGGGGTGTATGATTTGAAAGGGTTTCTTTATCTGGTGGCTTGCTTGTTCTAATTTATTTGCTTTTTCGGTTGGGTTCTGGGAGAGGTTGCATTTCTAGGACTTGTAAACATGTTTCAACGCTATATGGTACTTACATTATTTTCCCTTTTCTGCCTCTATCCTTCTCTTCTGTGTTGTCTACCTTATTTTGGTGATGCTCTTTTTTATGACTACTTTCACAGTGGTCTGTAACAATACGCGAAGTTATAAACTATGATCCTCTGAGTTATTGTGTGCATGCTTGTTTGTAACCATTGCTCTAATGCCTTGTGCAGCTCGTAGCCGCTGCATTAGCTTTTTAATTTGTTGGTTGCTTGTATGTTTACGTTTACGACGGTAGAATTATTGTGATGTAGCTTGTCCCACCATAAACAAGGCGGAAGCATCCACCGCCCTGGTTGTCACCCGATTACGTCGCCGCGCTCTCCCCATGCTTTCCCCTCATCAATGCACCCCTTCCTCGGCTCAAACGTTTCGGATTCAAAGCTATGGATCCTAAGCATGTAGTAGACGAGGAGCCTGAGCATGGCACAGGCGCTGTCTCGCTGGCCATGGTGATAATGTCCCATCAACAACTACTGACGCAGGCGCATCAGCTAACGCGATGATTGTCTAGAGTTCGATGGCAGAGACAATGCGTCCACTTTTGTCTAAGCAAGCGCGTAAAGCCTACTTGGGCACTCTGCTATTTATTTTGACAGCTATAAGCATGGTTTTCATCTCCGCATTGGCGTATGCGATCTTCTATTACAACTTCATCCCGCAGGTCGGGCTAGAGCGCATTGTTCACATGCAGTTCGAGTGCGTCAAAGACCCAAGGTTCAAGTTGATCTTCGGCTGCCTTAGTGAGGCTACCGCTGGAAGGGTTATTCATGGCTGACTGTCTTCTTTCTTGCGCATAGTGATGGCCATCCCTGGGGAGTCGCGTCCTTGGGTTCGGATTTGGTATCTCTGCAGATGTATGATGTGCAGGTAGAACTTGAGCTACCACGGACCCCCTCGAATGTTGCTGCTGGCAATTTCATGCTGGATCTGGCGCTCTATTCTCCGCCGTCAGCATCTGCAGAGACTGGGTCGAATACGTCGACTACCCTGCTCTCCCAATCGCGCCGCTCTGCTATTCTCACTTACGCCTCCCCTCTGGTTGACACAGCGAACAAGCTGGTCTTGATGCCATTCTATGTGCTTGGATGGAATCGAGAAGCAGAGAAGTTGCGGGTCGGCATGCTTGAGAAGGTCCAGTTCCCCCGTGGGCAACGTAAGGTTCCGTCCAGCTTGCGCCTTGAAATTCATAGTGCGGAGAAGATGCAAGTCTACAGAGCTAGGGTGATGTTCAAGGCGACATTCACTGGACTACGGTATGCTCCGTCCACTTCTTTGCAGCAGCCAGGTCTATTCTTTCCAAGACTAACCAGAGGCATAGGTGGATCATGTACAATTGGAAGCTCACGTCGTTTGTCATCTTTGGCTTCATGTTCTGGAGCGTTTCCATGGTGACTGCGGGAATGGTGTGGGCTCTACTGGCCATCGTCTTCCACCACCCGAAGGAGGAAGGAAAAGATGTCGTCAAAACAGAAAGTGGCAGCGAAGCAGTTGTCAAGTCTGAAGATACTGACGAACCACCCTCTCTTTTCGATGTTCCTTCCGAGATTTCTCACATCAGGGGTACGCCGATCAAGCAAGAGGAAGATCTGGACGATGGGGGGAGCGATTCAATTGAAGATACGGACGGGGATCGTGGCGCAGAGTCCTCGGATGTTTCAGGGACTGGAACTGGACTCGAAAGTGCCCATGCACGAGGGATTCAGCGGCGACGTAGTCACCTCATCAGGGCACACTCCTAGCGATAATCATATTCGCTTGTGTAATAATTAAGTCGATACCCAGACATGTGGCTTGATCAATCGAATGAGATGTACCGCGAAGCTGGGTTGAATTAGTTCATGATGACCATGATCCATGATTGTTAATTAGTTATCGATAACGAGACGAATCGGAGCGGCAGGTGGAGCCTGGTTCGCAAGGAACGACGAAAAGGCGGGGAAATCTGCCGTGATCTCTGCCTCTCTGCCCCTCTTCTTCACCTTTCTCCTACTCAACTCCCTTCGCTCCACCTTTGCTCTTGTTGCAATGCATATTCTAGTAAGCACATCAGCTATCCTGTCTATAGCACCTCATCGGACTTTGTCCATCTCAGCCCAGGCTGACGGGTTTCTGTGCAATAGGTTGTCAACGACGACGGACCGCCGTCGAACCAGTCTTCGCCGTATATCCATTCGCTCGTCGTCTCGCTACAATCTGTCGGACATACTGTTTCGGTAGTACTACCGCATCAGCAGCGGTCATGGATTGGTAAAGCACACCTGGTCGGGGCTGCGGTGAAGCCCACCTACTTCCGGCCTGGGACTTTGCACAAGGACGATGGAACAACTCACGAGTTGCCCTACGGTATGAACGAGGTTGACGACGAAGAATACGATGGCGATGAGTGGATCCTTGTCGACTCGACGCCGGCAAGCTGTGTGCAGATCGGCCTATACCACTACTTCGAGGACCGCGGTCCGATCGACCTGGTCGTTTCTGGGCCGAATTATGGCCGGAACTCGACAGCGCTCTTTGCCATGTCCAGCGGAACGATTGGTGGCGCCATGGAGGCTGCCGTCTGTGGGAAACGGGCTATCGCTTTGTCCTACGCTTTCAGCTCGCGCCAGCATGACCCCATCGTTATCGCGGAGGCTTCGCGGCATTCGGTCCGGTTGATCGAGTACCTTCACAAGAACTGGGCGGAGGGAGTAGATCTGTACAGTGTCAATGTACCTCTGGAGCCTGGTGTGAGCGAGGCCAAGGTTCTCTACACCCAGATGCTCGATAATCGCTGGTCGTCTGGCAGCTGCTTCAAGGCTGTGGAGGCTTCTGCATCGACGGACGGCCCGAGTGCGCATGAGCACAAGCTGCGGGAAGAAGGCGAGGGTGCCGGGAACGCTCTGGCTGCAGAAGGGAACAAGCTTTCGATCAAGCGATCTCGCATCCAACACAAGCACTTCGAGTGGGCGCCCAATTTCACGGATGTCTACAGAAGCGTGGATGAGGGTGCTCCCGGAAACGACGGGTGGGTTGTGAAGGAGGGAATGACTAGGTTTGTGGTGTTTAGCCCGATGCTCTTGTCAACTGCTGCTAATCCTTCACCGCAGTGTGACGCCGTTGAAGGCCAATTTCATGCACACGCCCGGCATCGAAGGGGAGATCAAGCTGTGAGTGATGTTTATTGCACGGCAGACGAACGGCCGAATCTATACGACCCGAAATGCATACCTGCACATATCATAGAGAAGAGCTTTGCGCGCTTGTCAGATATTCGAGAGCTAGTTTTATGCCTTTCGCGCCTTCCTTTCACTTCTTGCTTCCCTTCAATTCTATTTTGCAGTGCTTTTTCATACCGCAGGACGGCCGGGATTCTGATAGATCATGTTCATGTAGACCGGATAATAATGAGCCTACATTATATACCCTCGTGGACAGTGACAACCCATACGTCCAGAGTCTCATGGAGCAGGCCCTGCAGCGTCGCCTCGGCGCCGGCCACAGTCGCACCATCTCCTCCCTGGCCGACCTCCCGTCTCCCTCCGCTCCCGTGTTCCAGTATCGCGAGTACGAACGCCTGGATTTCGAGCACGCCATGATGCACTCCTCGTCGTCCCTCGCGAACGCCTACATCATCCGCAAGGCGCTGATTCGCAAGCACTACCTCTCCAACACCGTCACGAACTGGGTGACCAAGCACCCGGACAGCGTGTTGGCCAAACACTTCAAGTTCGCCTGCGACTTCGAGCTCGACTACGCGGAATTCCTGGACGACGCCCTGCTGGAGGCGTACGAGCTCCGCGAGAGCCTCGACCGCAACGAGACCCTGCCCGAGGCTGAGAAGGAATGGTGGATCCTCAAAGCCGGGATGAGCGACCGCGGCAACGGCATCCGGCTGTTCAACAGCGAAGACGGACTCCGCGAGATCTTCGAAGAATGGGATCCTGATTCGGATGACGACGAAGACGAGGAGGAGGGGGGTGACTCGGAGCGTCCCACCAAGTCCAAGGATGACGACGACGACGACGACGACGATCACGGCGTAGTCACCTCGCAACTGCGCCACTTCATCGCGCAGCCGTACATCGACCCGCCGCTGCTGCTCCCCTCAGCCGCGAACCGCAAGTTCCACATCCGCACTTACGTCCTGGCCGTCGGCTCGCTGAAGGTCTACGTCTTCCGGGAGATGCTGGCCCTGTTCGCCGCGAAGCCCTACTGCGCCCCCGCCGACGAGGCCGAAGGCGATGCTGTCACGGACCTGGCCCGCCACCTGACCAACACCTGCTTCCAGGACGGCGGCAGCGCTAATGAGGGTAGTGTCCGCCGCTACTGGCAGCTGGACGAGACCGTCCCGGACCTCGCGCCGGACTGGAAGGAGCACCTCTTCGATCAGATCTGCGCCGTCACCGGCGAGGTCTTCGAGGCCGCCGCCCGCGGCATGATGGTGCACTTCCAGACCCTCCCCAACGCCTTCGAGCTGTTCGGCGTCGACTTCCTCGTCGATCACACCGGCAACGCCTGGCTGTTGGAGCTCAACGCCTACCCGGATTTCGCCCAGACCGGTGAGGAGCTGAAGGATCTGGTCGTGGGCCGGCTGTTCGAGGAGACCGTTGATGTGGCTGTTAAGCCGTTCTTTGGGCTCGGAGAGAAGACGGCCGTCCAGGGGACGGAGTCGATGAGGCTAGTTGCTGATTTGGAGTTGGGGCGGAAGGATTAGCATTGAGGCAGTGTAGGTATCAAGGAGTGTGTGTGTGTGTGTGTGTGTGTGTGTACTTTGCTAGAGGCGTTTGCGCTGGGTGGTTGGATATATGGATGAGTTCGATTTAAAACAAAAGTTTGGGGGGATACTTAGAAGTGGAAGGAGTTTTGCTTATCTGGGCCAGTACATATATACTCTCGACAAAACAATCAGATGTATTACTATAGTGTTTCGGAATGATAGTCATATTTCCAGCTACGAATTTGTATGTATGTCTCCGAATCGAACAGTGAGCGAGCGAGCGACCTTCACAGTCCCTTCAACTCTATCGCGCATAAGAGGAGGGGAAGCTGCAAGGAAATCATCCAAACCGCTGCTTCGCCAACGTCTTCAGCCACCCGATCGTCTCCTCCTCCTTCGCGCGGTACTTCTGCAGCCGCTCCTCGCGCTCGGCCGCGCGCGCGCGCATGATCTCCTCGCGCCGGAGCTCCCGCTCGTTCTTCTTGCGCTGCTCCCGCTCCCGCGACTTCTTCATCGCCTCCAGCTCGTTCTCCCCCGACCCCAGCAGGTCCTCGTCCGGCACCGCCGCCGCCCCCGGCGACCCGCCGCGCCGCGCCTCCGCGAACGCCCGGTTCGCCTGCGCCGCCTCCTGCCGCTTCTCCATCCGCCGCTCGTGCGTCCCCGGCTCCGCCCGCGGCGCTACCTCCTCCTGCATGTGTCGTACTTCTGCGCGGTGGGCGCGCACCTCGCTTCGGTACTGGGATTGTGAGTCCTGGCGCGCGGCGAGGGCGTCTTCGCGCACTTGTTCTGTTTTTGACGGTTAGTCGCTCGCTTGTTTCCTTGTCATGTCACAAGGACTATGGGTGTTGCAGCGCGAGGAAAGGGAATGCGGTGGGTTGGGTCTGGGAGGGCTTGCGTGGCGTTACCTTTCCGCAATTCTAGGTCCTGGATCGTGGGGATCGTGGGCCCGGATAGGGATTTGTCGGGCTGGGGGAGCGTGGGGCCGTAGTCGTCTTCTTCGTTGTCATTGTTCTCGTTGTCGTCGTCGTGGATGTTGTGGCGGTCTCGTTCGGAATGACGCTCAATCTGCTGGTCGTGGGCGGTGGTGGAGGAGGATTGCGGTCCGGCCGTAGGAGGATGAGAAGGAGGAGCGTCGTCGAGATTTGACCGCGCCCGATCCAGCATCGCGGGATCGTACCATCCTTCTGCTAGTTCGCCGTGGTTCCTGATATATTAGTCTTAGGGGTTTATTGCTCCTATGTGATTTTTGGACACTTGGGGGGGAGGGGGAAGCGGAGTGTTGTTTTGCGCAAAAGTATAAAACAGCAGGCGGGGACGGGACAAGAGCGCTAGGTACCATTTGCGAATAAAACTCTTCCAGCGGCCCTTGACTTCATCCTCCGGGAGGTCCTCGACGTAGAGCCCTTTCTGAATATCGAGGTACATGGCGAAGAGCGGGGTGAAGGTGGTTAGGTCGTGTTTGGTGAGTTCGCGCGAGCCATAGGGGAGGACTCGGGGCTGGGGCGCGGCTTGCGCTGTGTCCGCGGTGCGGTGGGAGGAGGAATGATGGTGGTGACGGTGCCGGCGGTGGCGGTCTAGGTCCTCGTGTTGGGTGTGTCGATCGCGGTGGGTGTCTGTATGGCGACGGTGGTGGGAGCCGTGGTGGTCATCGTGATGATGGCGATGATGGTGATGGCGTCTGCTTCGGTGTCGGTCTGTTCGGTCTGTTGTGTCCGGGGAACGAGTGCGCGATCGGGTGCGGGAGCGATGTCGAGAGGCTGGATCAGTGCGACCGCGATGGTGATCTCGGGAAGACATTGCGTTGTATTGTTTATGTTGTCTGTGAAGGGCGGGCCAGAGAAGCTGATCCAGATGGAAGTGAAGAGAGTTGGATGGCGGAGTTGACGATGCCAAGCTTTGGCGGCGCCGAGGCGGCGGCGTTGGGGGAGAGTGCGGAGGTACGGAGTACAGTACTGTGCATACTCATTCATACAATACAGGATTTACAGTGAGGAGATAATTAGCGGGTGCTGTAGCGATCGATCAATTGCTTGCTCTGCGCTAATCAATTTTGGCATGACCTGCAATCTTTCGTGCTAGATTCCTCTTATGTTGCGTCTACTATACAAGTGCGAGACTGTTATTCTCAAACGTACAACCGCTGCATCATATTCATCTACATGGCATCAATGACAACCCTACCCAGGGCACTCGGATAGGTGAAATGACAGAAAGCTTCGCATGAGTATGTGTGGGGTATTGTCTAGCTAGCTGGGGCGCTTTGCTGCTCACTGGCCGTGGTAGTGGCGGCGGGGTTGTCGGCGGCATTCGATGGCGCCGGGGAGGCTGTCTTGGATCGGTTGGCAGCCGCCATCTGCCAAGCAGGGATAGAGGCAGACCGACCGAACTGCGAAAGAGGGTTGTTGCCCAAGGATGCAGTACTGGCGCTCGGACTCGGCTGAGCCGATTGCGATGGCTGCTCAGTCGATCCCGCAGTGGATCCGTTTGTTGCGTTAGAGGCAGAGGCCGATTCATCTGCTGGCCGTGAAGCAGTCGGAAGAGGGATGCCGCCCACAGCCCGTCCAGCGATGGACGAGTTGGCACCGCTACCACCGCCACCAAGTCGATTTCCCAGAAGAACTTTCAAGCTCTTCAATTCAGTGCTCAGCTCCTTCAAACGACTCTCGTTGCCTTCGCGAGCACTCTCCATTGCCTTCGGAATGGCGTCTTTCAACGACTTGACTTCGTCGCTAATGCGGCGGGTCTCGTCGTCCCTCCGACGGGATGCGTGCTTCATATCGGAAACAAGAGTCTCTACCTCTCTGAGGGCAACGTCGAGTCGCTCCGATCGCTCTTCTTCTGCAGTCTTCAGAGCGGCTGTGTCGGTGGAGAGTTGATCGATAAGCGTAAATGCACGGGAGAACTGCTCATCAATATCCTGCTTGTCCTGTTCCAGCTGTGGTGGTGTGGGGGGTGCGATCAAGGGTGTGATATATCGCTTGATAAATGTCAGCTCCTTCCGCAGCACGGCTGTAGGTCAAATAAGGAAGAACTGACCTTCGTGATAGTGTACAGCCCGTAACCGACACCACCCACAACAGTAGCCATAATAAACCAATCCCGCCAGTCCCGCTTTGGAGGTCTGCCGTGACGGCGAAATTAGCATTCCCGAGAATATCCTAGCGGACAGCCACTTACTCTGGCGGAGGCTGCCATTGACCATACGGTGGATAGCCATATCCCGGAGCAGGTGGTTGAGGTGGAGGGGGTCGGTAAACTGCTTGTTGGGAAGAAGGTTGATAGCTCGAAGATGATGTCGCCGCGGCCGCCGCGGCCGGATCTTCACCTACTCGCGAAAGAGCGACATCAATCTCTTCTTTCGTTAGGTTCTTTGACTGCAGGAATGCGACTCGCTTTTCGATCGGCGAAGAGGCGACAGACGGGTCTTGGAGAACTATCTTTGAATTAGAGACCGCAACAGAATGAATAGCATTGCAGCGTGCCGATGATTACCTACAGGTGATCTATGATGTCGAGGATGAGAGTCAGCTCCGATTCCGGCAACAGCACATGACAGATGAGGCATTGAGGCAATAAACCTACAGCAGACGAGATAAGCTCCTCGCGAACCATGATGACGGGTCCACCAGGGACTCTGTTTCGGTTGTGACGAAACGAGAGTCTATCAAGCGACAAGTTGCGCAGTGAGTGAGAATTGAAAGGAACACGGAGGCGGAAAGCGAAGTGGAAGATTAGTAGGAGGAGGAGGAGGAGGAGGAGGAGGAGGAGGAGGAAATTGGACCTCGGAAGTTGGGGAGGGCAGGCTAGGACGGTACTGTCTCCGTACTAAAGCAACTAATCACAGCCGGTACCGCGGCGGATTCGGCGTATCCCCAGAGGGGCCCGTGATCATGGGAGGATCATGGTTGAATGATCCATGATAAGAGTGGCTCAGTCCGGATCCGGTTAGTGCAGCTCTTCAGCTCTGCTGTTGTTCCCAGCCAGCTCACCGCCTGCTATTTCAAGCAAAGTGGCATGTCTTGTTTACATCCATGATCTGCCCGCTCGGTTGCTGCTGCCCGTCCAAAATCTCCCCTCATTTCTACGGTCAAAGCTGGTGTTCCAGCTTCGTGCTGCACAATCACTTCAGCTTCTGGCTCTCACTTCTCTTGGAATACCCCGGTTGGTACTTTGGGCCGATTTTGTGATTGCATCAAATCGACAGCTGCAGTCGCGGCTGCCTGCTCATCATGTCGCAAGATACCGGACTGTTCAGCATCAGGCGCCCTCGCGAGGTATGCGCCCCAACTCATCGCACCTGCCATGTGCCTACATGGATGCAAAAAATCTCAGATTCGAAGTAATGCTGACTGCCACATCTAGTCGATGGCGCTTGGAAGCGTTCAGAACTACTCCGCTCTTCCCCAACCCTCATCCGCCCTCAAACGTACCAGCTCTGTTGGATACCAGAACCCTCCCTTCACTTCCCAGCACACCCGCTCCATGTCGATTATGAACTCTGCCAGTCGCCCACAACAGCCGAATTTTCAGCGATCTTCATCGGGTGGGGGTCTTGGTGCAGACGCCGGTCTCTCGTCAGTCCGGCGCTCGGTGTCGAGCAATATCTTCCATGGACCCAGCGTGGGACGCCCCAGCCTCGCTCCTGGAGCTATGGCATCCAATACAGTGGCTGCGCAGGCGTTACAGCGACGGAGTAGTGTGTTCTCACGCCCGTCCATGGGTGGCGCCATGGCGCATCAGTCGTTCTTCACCCAGGTCCCCACAGTAGCTGGTGTCCCAAGAGACCCGAGACCTCTCAGAGACAGGTCTTTCCAGGCGCGGATCGGCCAAGAGCTGTTGGAGTATCTGACACATAACAACTTTGAACTTGAGATGAAGCACTCACTGGGCCAGAACACGTTACGGTCACCGACCCAAAAAGACTTCAACTACATCTTCCAGTGGCTATATCATCGCATCGATCCGGGCCACAAATTTCAGAAGAGCATGGATGCGGAAGTGCCACCGATATTGAAGCAGCTGCGTTACCCCTACGAGAAAGGCATCACAAAGTCGCAAATCGCAGCAGTTGGCGGCCAAAACTGGCCCACTTTCCTCGGCATGCTACATTGGCTTATGCAACTAGCGCAGATGATGGATCGGTTTCTTCTTGGGGAATATGACGAAGCCTGCGCAGAAATGGGCGTAGACGTCTCGGGCGACCGTATCATCTTCCGATTCCTTACAAGTGCCTACCATGATTGGCTTCAGGGTGGGGAGGAGGAAGATGATGAAACGGCAGAGAAGAGACTTGTTCCACATGTTGAGATGATGGCACAGGATTTCGAGAAGGGCAACGAGAAGTATGTGCAAGAAATGCAGGTCCTCGAGGCTGAGAATCGGACCCTACGCGATCAGATTGAAGAGTTGGAGAAGAACGCCCCGGATATGGCCAAGCTGGACAAACATTTCCGCATCTTGGAGGACGACAAAAGAAAATTCGAAGATTACAACCAGAATGTGCAGGGCAAAATTGAGAAGTACGAGAATCGCATCAAATTCTTGGAGGACGAGCTCAAAAAGACCGAAGCGGACCTACAAGCGGCGGAGGATGAACGGTCCGGGCTCCAGGCCAGTGTTGACCAGCAGGGCCTGACTATTCAAGACATCGATCGTATGAACACCGAACGCGAGCGGCTGCAGAAAAACCTTGAAGACACTGTCAACCGGTTGGAAGAAACGCATGCCCGGGTCATGGCCAAGGAGGCGGAAGCAAGCAAGAAGCTAGAGGACTTGGAGGAAGTGGTCAAAGCCTACAACACTCTCGGCTACCAAAACAGTTTGATCCCATCGTCTGCCGTGAACGCCAAGGGGGATGAATACGAGCTAAGTCTCATTGTCAACGAGAGCAATTTCTCGTCATCTCAAATTGGTGGTCTCCCAAACAGAATCTCTCCAGAAGGAGACCGACTGCTTGCGGAGCCTTTCACTGGATACCACCCGGCTCACTTGTTGAACCTGGACTTACGTGGTGCCGTTCGTAGTAATCTCCAGACTCTCCGCAAGGACATTAACGAGCGCCGGAAACGCGCAATTGACGATGACATGGAGCGTCGCAATCTGCTGGACAACATCAAGGAGGCGATGGACGAGAAAAGGAGCGAAGTCGAAGCCTTGGAACACAAGCGGCGCGCCGCCGAAGAGGAATTTGAAAGGCTCAAGGAGATTACCACTACTCAGAAGCTGGCGTCGGATGCCCAGATTGAAAAGATGGAGAAAGAACTGGCCAAGATGCGCGCTACGCTCAGCGAAAGCGTTCAACTGATGGAGCAGCGTGAGATGAATACCAACATTGAATACGAGCAGTTGACGCTCCGCGCGAATTCTCTACGGGAAGAACTACACACAAATGTGGAAAGCATGCTGAATGATGTTATTCGCTTCAAGGTCCATGTTCAGAAAGGACTGGAAGACTACGAAAGCTTTGTCGTTGATGAAGTCGAGCAAGAGCTGGGAGGTGATATGCAGTTTGCTGAAGAAGAGGATATTGAGATGGCTACTGAAGAGTTATGAACCCGGTTGAGCCAGAGTGAAGGCTCACATTCATGAGAGAATACGCTGTTCGAACCACAGGGTTTGTTATTCGGGCTGGGCTTGGCTTGTTTGGGGTTTGATTCTCGGCGCTATTGGTAGGTTCTGTTGTAGTATGGGCCACGTTCTGTTCATGTCGGTTCATATTAGGTCTGGTCTTTCTACCTTTTTGTTTCATTGATACCTTTGGCCACTGGTCGCTGTTCGAGTCGAGTCATTGATCTACCTATCTACCTTCATACCTTCAGGGGTCGCATATACATGAATTCCCTTTGATTAATGTGTTACATAAGGCACTGTTGTATTTTGATAGCATTGTCTGAACCTTGAAATGCCGGATTCAATCACCGCCTGTGCAGTACATTAAACCATGTAAAGTATACTTATTGTGTGCATTGTTACTGAGTGAATGGCGCATCACTGATTGGCGATGGATAAGCCCCGTGGCTGAGTCAGCATGTAGCTATCAGTGCTGCTTTTGCCTTCATCTGTAAAAAGTTCCTCCCGCCAGGAACTTTTCTCAGCGCCAATAACTTCCAAAGAATCTTTTTCTCATTGTCAGGTCCGTCTCTTTATTGTCTTACCAAGAATCACTTCCCACATAATACAGTCTTCTCTGGTTTTATGGTATACATTTGACCTGGTCCCTGTGACTAGACATGCGTCACAGAACACTCGTTCAACGGTCACTTCGAGTTTTGGACTTCCTCCGCCCGTAAGCCACCTCCGCTAGTACCACTATCGTGTCATGAAAAGGTGCTTGTCCTCAGCTCGTCCGCTGCGCCCGCATCATGGGCCTCCTCGAATCTCCTCTCCTTCGACCGGTCATTTCTGCGGAACCCATGCCTCTTCCCCTCCCAGCTCGCGCTGGGCTTCCTCCGCGTCGCGGCGACGTGGGATCTACCAACGCTTCGCCACAGACAGCACAGCCTTCACTTATGAATTCATCAGTGCCCAGGGGATGAGGAAGATGCCGCAACCGAGAATAGGTGAAAAGGAACACGACCCCAATGAACGCTGGCTCGGACTGCTGGAGGAGCATTTACCACCACCGTTGCGCAGGGGCTACAATGGGGAGGCGGAGAAGAGTTCGGAACATTCCTCCGCCGATTCGTCGTCTATGGCCCAGGAATCTTTCGCAGAAACTGTCGACATGACCAACACGCTATATCGAGCCCGAAAGCATCGAAACCTGGACCTGTTGACTTATCTTGGTTTTCGGTTGAACAATTGGGCTGCTGTGGATTTCATTTTAGGTCGTCTGCTGGACGCCTCCGAAGCCGCCACTGACTTCTCGCGGCGCTCGCGGCCACCAACCTGTGTGCATTGGGCCCTGGACCCCAACTCGACGCTTGATGAGCTTTCCCGTCAACCTGTAGATTCTGCGCCTCCTGCTGCACCGGCTCTGGGCCACGGCGCGTCAAATGACCCGAAATTGATTGCGCTGAAGCACGGTACCGCCAGGCCCTTTGCTGCCGAATTAAATGAGCGCTTTCTGGCGCAGATATGGCAATCGCTGGGTGCCCTTGTACTAGACGCCGCGGATGCATCCCCCAATGAAGCCAAGTTGGCTATGTCGGTTGTTCTTCGCACTCTTGCCCGTCTACATACCTCTGGCGCTATATCCGACAGGGTTTATGATTGGACTCCGCCCCTTCGATTTCAAAGCTCATTTCGGCCTCCAGGGATGTCCTTGCTCAAGTCCTCAATTATGCAAGCTCTGACTGATGCTGCGTGGATGGAGTACGAGGCAGACATGGCTGACAAGGCTGCTGCAGTAGGCCAAAAATCACCCTTCGTTCCGGTCAACCCGGTCATCCGTGAACTAGGACCATCAATTTGGATGGAGTTGATTCTCTGGTGTTGTGTCGAGCAAGGCTTCACTGAAGAAGGGGTGTGGCTCATAGAACGAATGAAGAGACAGTCGGGCGACATCCGCTGGACGGCCAAGAACTGGAACAAGCTGCATATGATCGACGAGTCCGCACGAGTTTGGAAGACTGATATCGACCTGGAAGGCAAATGGCGTGAGCCACAGGACCCTGGAGTGCTCTACAGGCGACTTCAGGAGAATTACGTCAAGAAAAGGCTTGACCTAACTCCCTTCGTCGGGATGGGTGAGCGAACGATTAGTGAGGAAGTTCTATGTGCATTGTTCGACAGTCTCCCAAACCTGGCATATTCAGGGACCGGTTTCCGAGGCATGTCACCCAGCCGCATGGCGTCTTGCGTTTTCTCATTAAAGTTCATTCTCTCTGCACCGAGGGTTAGGCGTTTGTTTGTGACAACCCAGAGATTTAATTCTTTCCTCATGCGGGTGCTATCAGCTGGAGGGATCAACGCTCAAAAGGACCCTCTTTGTGTTGTTGACCTTCTTAAGACCTCACCGACAGTGGTGCCGCCTTGCGTCCCGCCCTACGTGCAAGTCACGGATATAGGGCATCTCAAGAGCTTGCATCAGTGGGATTTCTACAATCAAACTCTGGCGCCAGTTGGCCTGCTCGAATACACCCTTAGGTATTCTTCGTCCTTGCGACGGTCTGGGGAGGCCTTAAGAACATTTGCCTGGCTGCAGGAAATAGAAGACGAAAGCAGACAACAGCGGACAGACGAATCCTTTAATTTGGAAGCTGTAGGTGCTGGAGACTCGCTCGACTCTTCTTTGTCACCCATGCCGCATCTGTCGAGTGTGACGCTGGCCGAACTGCTCGACTTGCTCACTGCGTCACGGGCTTACGAGTCCGCTGAATGGCTATTCTCTGCTACAGACGTCGAAAGGCCTGCTATCTCAGAGGACGTGTACGGTGACCAGAACATAGCACCATCGATCCTTCGCTTTGCCGCCGCCACGAAAAACAAAGCTCTCGCTGAATCCGTTATTGGATCTCTTCAGCAGCCTCTTTCCACTAACACCTTGCGTGCCCTTCTTAACTACCGCATAGTTCAGGGCGAATGGGATTCAGTGGTAACAGTGTTCGAGTACCTTTGCCGCCACCGCCAGAAGTCCTGGGGTCACAGCAACGTTGCCACCTTGGCAGCAGAGATCATCCGTCTGGAACACGCGATCCAAGAGCTAGGGGAGGGTCCGGAACGCCTCGGTACAGACTATGAACGGAGGCGCGCCAGCCTCGTCAGTTCTTTTGACACAGCGAAAGCAATCCTCGGCCGTCTATTTACCGGAGAGTTCAACGAACGCCAGGGCCCGATTCTATCGAGCAGCGCTGTTCCCGTCCAGGGCCAGGACTTCCAACCACGTGTCCTCGCGAGTTTTCGCCGCATTTTCCTCGATTTCGTGGATTCCCCTGCCCTTCGTGATGTCGCCACTTCCAGCACGCATCGCCTAAAATTCAAGGTCACTTCGCGCACTCTGATTCCCTACATTCCCTCGACCGCGTTCCACCAGATCCTTGAAGCCGTCGTTGACACGCAAGGCAGCGCCGCGGGCATGAACCTCTACTTCAAGACCTGCTTGGATATTCTCTCACCGGAAACGGTCAGGATGCGGGAGGGCGGCATCCCGCGCATGTACCTGCACTCCGAACGCGTCCTCGAGCGAGCCGACCCCCACTTTGACCCGGTGTACTTCTGGGGCAAGCAGGAGAAGTGTGTGATCCCGAACTTGAGTACCATTCGGATCATCCTACGGGCAGCGATGGAGGAATACAACGCCAACAACACGGTGCATGAGGACAAAAGTCACGATGACGACCACGACACCGCGGAATCGTTCTTTGATGAGGATGCACAATTAAAAGACTACTTCGAGGGCAATTACTGGGCAAATATAATCAAGGCCCGAAAGGCGGCGGCAGCGGCTCGGTCTGCCGACGGCGCCCTGCATCCTCGGCGCGACCAAGGTCAGCCAACAACGCTGCCCGCGTTCGAGCCACGGTCCACAACATTGCAGCCAGACCCTAAGTCCGTGTCGAGAGAAGCGCCACACATCCTCGCCGACCTACCCGACCATCCCCGCGAGCGCCCCCAGAAGCTCCTGAGCCGGAAGAACCCGTCCTGGCCCGTCCTCGACTTCTGCATCAGGCGCTACTTCCGCTTCGGCCTCTCCTACCGCGAGGTCAACCGCGAAACCGGCGGGTATCTGTCCCTGCAGCGGCGCGAGTATTGGGGAGAGAGCGTGCCGGGGCCCGAGCTCTCCGTGCGCACCCTCCCGGACAAAACCACCCTGGTCGGGCCCGAGTGGATGATCCGGAGGTCGCATGCGGCCGGGGACGTGCGGAAAAAGATCATCAAGTGATCTTTCCTTTATTTTTTATAGATTCCACGGTCCGCGGCGATGTGGCTATTGTATAGATAGACGTTCTGATTCTTTCCCCCCCCTTCTTCTGTGTGTGCGTGTGCGTGTGCGTGCACCAAGGGCCCAGGTTTCTTTCTGACCCCGGGGTCGAACTCAATGTGTTTATGTGTGTCTCTATGTGTGTGTGTGTGTGTGTGTGTGTGTGTGTGTGAGAGAGAGAGAGAGAGAGAGAGAGAGATGATGTATATAGCTCGACCTGTACAGTTACTAGGACCTCTTTTCCTACATGTTAGATTCACATACCACTCTGTATATTGATTTGCGCTTTCAATGCCCCAGTATGAGCCTTGTCGGTCCCCCTTCTGTTTTGTCCCAATAGACCCTTGAAACGAAGGTGCTAGAACATCCTATACTGTCCCAAGATTCACGCATGTCAGTAGGGAAAGGGAGCCTCGGAGGTGACATGACGGGGCGTGGCGTGGCGTGGTGTCTGAAATCGTTTGCAAGCTAGTTCAACCCGGTCCCGGACTTGCTGCGAATAGTTGTATCTGGCTTAAACCATGTCTTGAACTAGTGCTAGATGAGTTTGAAGCGATAGTTGTACACAAACTGCCTACAATTCAACAGTAAGTATTTATAACTATTGACAACTACTCATAGTCACGACTATACTCAAACTGTTCAAGATTAACTAAATGTGGTTGTGTATCAGTATGTTGATTAAGGTACTAAGTATTGACAGGGTCAAAAGATGTATAATCCTTACTGTCCAGTCAATACTTATTTTAAATAGAGGTTAGGGGACTGTTGACCTTGTTAACGATATGGTGTTAACTGGTTGATAACTAACTGTTTATCAACAGTTGCATGCAACTGTTGTACCCCAGTTCTTTAACAGTAACATACTAACTGCAACGTCAACACCCCTCTCCAACTAGGTAAACCGTCACCACCGAACCCACCCGTCTATGGCAAACAGAAAATGGAAAAGGTAGAGAAAACTCGAATATGGTATTCCCGATCTCCGGAACGAGATCTATATAGAAAAAAGGGTGTTATGAACCGAGAGGGAAAAAAAAAAACATATACACCAAGCATCCCACCTCATTCATTGATTCATCCATCCGTTAGATTCATGACAAATTTCCATCAGCGCCACTAAAGTCAGGCCTCGCCGCTCAGGCCAGGCTCTTTTCCCGTCTCGCCTGCCTAGTACTCCACGTAGCAAATTTACCGCCGTACACAAAGCCCAGAATATTGCTCGCATAGAAAACCAAATACAAAGAAGAAGCAGGAGAAGAAGTTGGAACACGGTTGCGAATAGAATATAAGGCAGGAAGCAAGCGAAACAGAGACAGATATCAGAGCGCGTTTGACGCTCAATATACATGGGACAACGTCGCGAAGAGGAGAATCAAGCTCGCGCACGAACTCAGAAACGCTGTAATGGATCTTCAAAGCTTCAAGACCATGGTCAACGATAGTCAAAGAGAAATTTAGGTAGGGGCCAACCGAATTGTGTGATATCATGGTGCATCGTGGCAATGAGAATTGATCACTGGGAGTAGAAAATAGTACTGTCAGACCGACTTTCCAAGAAGACAGAAAGTCGAATTGTACTTGTCACCCCCAAGGTTGATCCTCATCCCCGGAGGATGGGAAGAAAGAGCGAATAAATTCGCCGCTGATCGGATCATACGGAAAATATGCATCGCCGCCGGGACTGGGGTCGGAAGGCATGAAACTCATTGGCATGCCCGAGTGCTGTTGTTGATGTTGTTGGTATTGCTGCTGCTGCTGCTGCTGTTCATCCTGAGGGTTCATGGTAAGTGACAATCCAGAATCATGGTGCAGATTGGACACTTGCGACGCAACAAGAGATTGGTTCATGTCAGCAGATGTGTAGAAAACGGGACCTGAGTTAGCGGTCTGTCCGGCTTGATGTTGGCCAGGTTGAGTCACATCGTGTGGCCGAGGGTCGTATCCAAAGACGGGCATATCGCTGATATCGTAGTCCATTCCATAGGAAATTTGCCGGAGACTACCAAAACACAATTCCCAGGCACGTCGAGATGCCAGGCTATTTTGTGCCATCGCAAAGAGCCAGCGGATGGCCTTCTTTGTAGATTCCAAAAAGGCCATCTCATCCTCTGGCTTGTGAATACAGCCAAAGGATAACTCCAACAGTAAGACCGAGGTCGCTTGCATCAAGTAGTGCAGAATACACCACCAGGGGCATACTTGGTAAAGACGGGCTGCATCTGGCACATCCGGCATCAAGTCGAGCATACGTCGAGAAGAATCCAAGGTTATTACCGCCATCTCGTGGCTGAAGGTTGGCTTCTTGCTAGCTGCCGTTTGCCTTGCATCACGACGACAGAGGCATGGCCGTCCTAGAGTAATCCGCGCGCTATAGTAGTGGAAAGCGAGGAAAAGCTTGACACGGATTACATCCGTGCTCTGGTCTTCTCGTCGCGAGAAGTCGTACGCTTCATGGAGATTTTGGTACCAAAGGTCAATCCGAGACCGAAGTTCACCAATCCGGTTCTCAATGTGACTCCATGGGATGGAAATACAATCAAGTGAGTACACCCGATTGACAATTTCTTGTGCAATGACCGCGAGGTCGACATAATAGAGAAAGCCTAGGGCGCTGCTCGGGGGCAGATTTCGCAGCCACGAGGTATCGCGCGGTTGATCTGATGCTTCGGCTTCTCTACCACCCTGGGGGTTAGATGGCATCTGGCGAACGGATGTAGAAGCAAGGGCGGATTCGATGTAGTCTTGACGGATATCTGGGTTGTTAAGGAGCCTGGTCGCAGCCGGCTCCGAGAGCTGTTCCTCCTCGAACGGAAGTGGCAATGGCGTCGTGCAGATGCCATCGGCGATGCATGAAGCCCGTCCTGTCATGATACCCAACATGTGCTCAAAGGTATACAAACACCACCAGACACGGTAGCGTGCTTCTTTAGAGATCTTAGCCGTGTTTTCGCTGGTATTCTTCATGTTGAGCCCTAATGTGATAGCAGACCGTACAGCCAGAGCTGCGATTCTCCAGGCCCTAGTTGATATACGTGTTAGATGGAACAACACACATGATGGTGTGTACTTTAACTGCCTTACCTGTTTATTTGGTCCGTGGAGAGTAGATAGTATGCGATTAAGCCTTCCACCTGAACCTGCTGAAGATCAGGATGACTAAATAGCACATCTCCGTTCATGCTAAGAATCCGAGCTCGAGTGAGATAGACCAGATGATCATTGTCATCCCCGCGCCAGGGCGCCTGCGTCAGATGGGCATGCTTGGCGGAGATGGCGAAAATCATATTGAGGATGGCTAGCCACTTGTCCCCGGGCCGAGCGGCGCTATCGAAGAAGGTTTTGTATTGTGCGGAAAAGAGGGTGCGGTTGACAATAGGAAAGAATGGGTGCACGGTCTCCAGGTAATCCTGAAAGAGTTGATCGGCCACCTTCCGTGGCGGCATCCAGTACACATGCACGGGCCCAGGAACAGAAATGTCCATGTCGTCCAGGTGGTAATTGACCGAATGAATCGCGAAATCGCTCTCTTGGTCCGCGTTGTAGAAGCCTGGCAGTCTGCGAGAACGTTGTTCGGCCTCCTTACGCACTCGCTGCATCCAGATGACCTCCGAGTTCTTGCCCATATAGCCTGTCGCTCGGGAACTCGGGGTTCGGTTTACATCTTCCTCGACACGATCTATTGCATCCAGCGATCCGATTGATGAGGTTGAAGATACGTCATCGTCTGCGAATTCGTCCTGCGGCGTTACGGAACTCGACTGTGCTTCTGTGGACGTCGCGGTGGTTTCACTACCCGAATGCTGATCAGGGTTAACCCAATGTCGCAGATTTTTTCAAGGGATATGAAGAAGCACAGAACACTACGGGCGGTGGAGATAACACTCACCTTCTCTAAAACAAGTTTTATTCGCTCGGCAGCGCGACCGTCCACGACGGAACTTAGGTCCCGCAGGAGGTTTTCATAATCGGAGGTCTTGGTAGAAAGCTTATTCAACTGCCTAAATACTCGAAGTCAATGGCCAGCGCAAGGGAAGCGTGCGATAAGATCGACAAACGTCTTGGTCCGTTCACGCCAGGAGATCGGATATCGGCAGCTAACCCGCAGCTCCTTGCACTGCCTACACACTGGCGTATCCCCACTACACTTGGTTTTGCGATGCCGACAAGATTCGCAGGCCAAAGGTACGCGACGAGCATAGCGTGGGGCAGCCCCGGAGCGCTGTCGGGGGATGGCAACCTTCTTGCTGGCGTTGGTGGTGGGGAGCAGTAGTTTTCTATCGGAGTTCGTGCCTCCACTATTGGTGGTGACGGTCGGATGCTGTGAAGGTTGTGATGACGATGTACTAGTCAGTCCTGGCGCGTTGGACGACGAGACTGACGGCTCTTCCGGATGGGGACGAAGAGGCATTCGACCTTGCAAATGGCTTTCATCCCCGTCCGGTAGATTAGATTGTGCTTCCATGGTGTTGTCTTTATCAGACTAATGAGTGGCAATGGAGGGCGGACGGCAGAGGGCGGACGACGGGGGGGGCGGGGGTTCGCTTCAATGATGGTCACTTGCTTTCGCTGATTTTGAGTTATCGGGTAAGTGGTTGACAATAGTGATATCGCAAAAAACTGTATATTATAATCTTTCGAGCCTAGAGCATGCACAGCCAAACAGAAACATGATGGCCGTCCGGCGGAAGGTTCCAAAGATGAGATGAGGCGATTAGAAGCGCGAAGGGTTTGCAGCCACAGCCAGCTGCAGCGCTTAGCAGTAGGGTCAAAATCGGAAGTGGTAAGAGAGCGAAGAAGAGGGGAGGGGAGTAATGAAAGAGAGGAAAGAAGACAAGCGGTGATACTCTGTGGAAGAGATATGGGAAGAGACTAAGGTACTACTCATACAGTGATGGGGAGGGGGAGAAGGAGAAAGAGTAGTGGATGCGGGCACTTGCCTGGCAACCATGCAGGCTGCATGACGGGCGGGCGGGCGGTGACAGTCACTACCGTTAGTACTTAGTACTCACTAGGTAGGTTTAGTACCTCGACTTGGTCCAAGCTCAAGACTCGATCGCAATCGCCCCGCCATGAAGTCATGATCATGGATCTTTCCTCCTTGTTCTGGTTCACGGGTTCCTGCCTTTCTTCGGTCTTCCACGAGTGCATCTGCCTTACGCTGAGATGTTTGGATGGTTTTTTCAAGTAGAACTTAGATTATACCATACAGAAAATGGTTGATTCACATGTCAACAAGAGTTACACTACTTATGCGT